GCGCAGTCCACCCCTCCCCGCCCCTCCCGCCGTTCGCCTCCTCCTCGCCTCCTCCCCTCCACCAGGGGAGGGTGTCAGTTTGAAGTCTTCCAGCTGACGCGTGGGGAAGGCTTCCCCTCGTGTCAATTGGGAGATCCAACCCGCGGGCGGCCGCGGCGTTGGAGTTCAGAACATGGGGGCATGGGGCCACGAGGCGAAAACACTCGGGTTTCTCAGCCCCGCCAAATCTCCCCTTCAAAACTCAAGGGGGCGGTGGTGGGGCACTTGCGCGCGCGCGCCGCGAATGGCCTGAGGGTGGAGTTGGGCGGGATGGTCGTGTAGTCTGCGCGGTGGTGAGTTTGGCCGTGGCCGAGCTCGGGCGGGACGATCCGCGGCGGCCCCCGCAACGGCGGTGCCCGGGCCCACGGGCATGCGGGCGATCCTCTTCCCCCTCCTATGAGGAGGAGACTGAGGACAAGCAGGAGGAGGAAGGGGATGAGGAGTAGAAGGAGAAATAGCAGGCGGAAGGGAAGGGAAGGGCAAGGCGGAGCATGGGACTGATGACGAGAAGGAAGGGAGGAGGGGAAGGAGGAAGAGGATGAGGAAACGGAAGGAGGAAAAGCGAAATGATGAGGAAGAGGCGGAGTAGAAGACGGGGCCGAAAAGAAGGATCATCGGATGAGGAAGACGAAGTTGTTGATGGTAATGATGATGACGACGACGACGATGGCGACGACGATGGCGACGACGATGACGACGATGGCGACGATGCCGACGACGACGATGATGATGATGATGATAATGATGATGATGTTTTCTCGCCCTTTGCCTCCGATTTCTTTTTGAAACCTCTAGATGGCTCCACGATGGCCCAATAGAGCACCGGGCCATGAGGTCTCCAAGATGGCCCCAAGAGCGCCCCAAGAGGCGATGTTTCGGTCTCCAGAGGGGCGAAGCTAATATGGGACCCACACTACTCTTAACGAGGTCCTGCAACATGGTCGCAAGAGGGCCCCATGGCTGTAAGGAGCTTCAAGATTGTCCCAAAAGAGCCCCAAGTGCTCCCAGTATCGCCCAAAATGGGCTCCAATAGGCTTCTGAAAGGCTCTTGCATCCCCGTGAGAAATTATAACAAAAGTGGCACAGGGATGGAAGCCAAAACGATGTTGAATCAGACCAGGCGGGGCCCGTCGCATGAAGCGACATACACCTGTCAGTGTTACGGAAGAGCGTCTCGTCTGTATTGCGCGGTGCACGTTCGCCATCCGACTGTGGGAGCGCAGTCGCATGGCAGAACGTGGAACCGCCCACGCCAGCGGCCCTGTGAAGGATGAGCTTGGATGAGCACCCCTGCATTAACTGGCATCCGCCTCCCAATGTCGCCACCGGGCGCGCAAGCCAAAACATGGCATATCTATAACCTGACCCATGGTGCACGCCTGCGCACGCTGCCAACATTGAAAGGCGAATGTCACTTAATGATGCTCTTTGGGCGTTGCCGTCTGCAGATCATTCAAAACGATCGTCTTGTTGATTTTGTTGTATATATATCCCCGGCTGTGTAATACAACATCCTAACGAAAGCCAGCATGGCTGAACCCCTGTCGCCGCCGTCGCCATCGCCGCCACCCATCTCCTTCATCTTTCTGCTCCTCGTGCTCTTCCTGTTTCTCCTCCCTTTCCTCTCACCTGCCTCTTCGTCCTCTTCCCTCCTCCTCCTCCTCCTCCACCTCCGCCTCCTGCAGCAGGCTCAACAGTTTACTTCCTGGATATGCTCATGCTGATTCCATCCTTCGTCTGCTGGGGAGAGGCGCAGCATCTGGAAGAAACACCAGATGTGGCCTGGCTTTTCAATATATAGTTTAGGGCGCCCGAGGCATGTATATGTATATGTATATGTATATGTATATGTATATATATATATAGCTATGTATGCACATATGTTGTTTTAGAAGCATCCATATTTTGGCAGTCCTAAGAGGTCCAGGCTCCAGATCGGCAGAACTTTCAACAACCTGGGGTCCAATGGGTATCATGCATCCGTTGAGTTACACTAACTCATGCTGTTTATAAGTTCTTTCGTGTCTGAGGGAGCGGGTTTCCGAACGATCATATTTCGTCCATGGGCCCGTGTCCGCTGTTGGGTCGCCGCAGAATTTAGTAGGGATAGTTCATACAGGATGTTGGTAGGGAGTGCAAGTAAGGGCCCGCCGCACCAGACACGTGCGGGCACGCTCGCGACCCTTCTCCTTTCTTATCCGCTGCGGAGGTCCACGTATGACCACGCCCGCGCGCTTCGCGCGCTTACGTTCTAGCAAGCCCAAGTTGTAGTCCAAAGCGTTTGGCATCGGAAGACATATATCGTCACACGGATCGTGCCCCTCAGGGATGCAAGGCTACAGACAAACAGATAGGATCGTGCCCCTCAAGGAGCTCCACCGACGGCCCCAGAGACAGGCATGGCTTAGCGTCCCCCCGCCCATGTCGGCACACCCGTCACAGGGATCGCATCCCTCGGGGAGCTCCACCTACATCCCCAGAGGCAAGGTTCGCATAGTGGCGCACGCCCCTCACGCGGATCGTGCCCCGCAAGTGACTGCATTGCAACACCAGAGGGAAACTTCATAGCGTCGCCCCGCTCACTTTGGTATACCTCTCACCAGGATCGTGGCCCGCAAGGAGTGAAACGGACGGACCCAGAGGCACGGTTCGCATCCCGCCCCCCGCCTACTTCGGCACACCTCTCACGCGGATCGTGGCCCACAAGAACCTCCATTTACGGCCCCAAAGGCAATGTTCGCATTGCACCCCCCGCCCCCTTGGCCATTGCGGCACACCCCTTCATCCGGACCGTGCCCACAAGGAACACCACCTACAGGCCCAGAGACAAAATTCCTGCAACGCCACCCCGCCTATGGCCACACACCCGTCACGCGAATCATGCCCCAGAACGAGCTCCACCTATGGCACCAATGGGCAGCTTCGCACGGTGTCCCCCAAACTATTTCGGAACACGTCTCGCAAGGGTCGCTCCCAGATGAGCTCCACCTGCGGAAATGGGCGTGTTTGCACGGGGGCATCCGAAATACTCGGCACACCCTTCACGCTGATGGTGCCAAGGACTTCAACGCATCCGTGCATGCGTGCTCCGCAGCGACCCGCTTTCCGCGTTGTCCCGCGGCGCGCAGTACATGAAGACAGACCCGCGCCCTGCGCTACACATGACTGCACCGGGATGGGTCCTTCGCCAAGCCAAGTGCTTCTTATCTATGGCCTTCGGCCCATACCGCAACCGTGCCAGAATTTTTGGACAGAGGCTTCGAGGATATCTGTAATTCGGGGTCTCTTGGCATGCTTCTCGAGAGCCACGTGGAGCAAATTTTGAAGCTTCTTGTGGCCTCTTGTGGGCCGTGTGGGGGCCTCTTGGGGTCTCTTTTGGGGCCCTTGGAGGCCTCTTGGGTGCCAGCTGCAACCTCGGGGGCCCACTCGTGGCGGAGGGCTCGAAATGTCAGTTAGAGTTCCAACTCTTGGGCCACTCTTGGGGCCGTCTAGGGCACCTCTGGACATTATCGGGGCTCTCTTGGGTCGTCCTGGGGCCTTCTTGGGGGCCTCTTGGGCCGTCTTGGGGCGATCTTGGGGGCCTCTTGGGTCGTCTTGGACTCTGTTGAGATCCCAAAATACAATCTGCTGAGCATGCACGTTTTCCTTAAGGGAATGCAATTTGGACCTCCTGGGGCCCTCTCGGGGAGCATCTTGCAAGTTTCTCGGGGCGTCTTGGGTTCCTCGGGCCGTCTTGAGGCAATCTTGGGGCGTCGTCGACGCTG